CATAGACTGAGCTGGCTGACAGCTACAGCTCCGTCCAGCTCCAGGACACAGTGTCTCTGACGTTACTCACGTTCCACTCAAAGCCCCCAGTGGCGATGCCTGCAGCTGCTCCTGTCCCAGCCAGCCCCACAAAGTGACCGCTTCCGATGTTACTGGCAAACAGAGAGGCTCCAATCTGAAAACACAAAGGGAAAGTCACGTGAGGATTCTGTGCTCCACCAGAACACTCGGAGTGGGCCAAAGAGTGTAGAGACATGCCAGCCAAGAGAAGGATACATCACATAGATCCTAGCAAGCCAGATGGGAGGGTGGATTTTATTCTAAGTATGATGGGAACCTACCGGAGAGTTTCAAACAAGGGAGGGACAAGATCTAATTTGCTTTTAAGGACTGCTCTCAAGCATGTGGAGAATGTAGTGTTGGGGGCAAGAGAGAAAACAGAAAAACCCTGTGGGAGGCAATTGCTTCCTGTAGGTGAGAGGGGACAGCGGCTTGATCTTGGGTGGTGGCAGCTGAGACAAAGACAAGCATAGAGATTGGGGTAGGTTTTAGAAACAAAGTTGACCAGGCTGTTGATGGATCAGATGTGGGAAATGAGGGAAGGAGTAAACAAGGGTAACCCCTAGTTTCAGGACTTGAGTAACTGGGTGGAAGCCATTCATGAGAAAGGGGAAACTGTGTACTTTAGTTTGTGCCACTTGAGAGTTTTAATCTTTTGTTATCTGTACTTTAAAGTGTGTTGTACAACACAGGCTTGCTTGCCTTTGTCAAAAGAATAGGACTCAGTAAACTTTGCATAAATAAGTAAATTACTGTTGCCTCTGACCATAAGTGGAATTCTCACGGTATGAAAGTTCTGTTGCTCTGGACTGTATCCCATCTTCATTATAGCGTAAACATTAAAATGCTTTGCAAGTTAAAAAAAAGAAGAAAGGGAAACTGAAAGGGAAGCCCACTGTTTAGATACATCCACCTCCTTCTCCCCAAAGCTTGGTGGGGATAAGAGTCCACTTTTTTTTTAATCTTCCTGTTTGTTCTATTTTTCTAATTAAAAAATATTTTATTGAGCTATAGTTAATTTACAATATCGTGTTAGTTTCAGGTGAATAGCAAAGTGATTCAGTTATACATATATGTTGTGTTATATATATATATAAAATTTTCAAGAGTCTTTTCCATTACAGGCTTTACCAGATACTGAATGTAGCTCCCTGTGCTATACAGCAGGTCCTTGTTGTTCATTTTGCATATAGTGAAGTGTATCGATAACAGTCTGCTTTTAATCAGAATTCCCTTCCACGTGCAGCCTGCCTGTCATGACCCATTAACTTTTTTTTCATTTACCATGTCTCACTTGATAAATTATTAAGCCTAATGTACTATTAGGAGCAATATTACCAATAATGATTAACCGCATTAGATTAGCCTTAAGTTGAAGAAGTCCTTTCCAACATCCCCCCAAGGGGGACAGTGGACTCTAAGCAGTTGTAGGCTTCCCTGACACAACCCCTCACCATCTGATGGAATGGGGGCCAGGAGGACTTTGGGGGTACCAGAATGTCCATGGGCTGTTCAGAGTGAAGCAGGCTGGCCTTCTTGACTTCCCACCTGTTTTTAACATCATGTGGCTTCAAACTCTCTTTTAAATCTGCCACTCAGCCATGGGTCCTTGGCAGTGGCGACAACTAAGCCAGTCTCTCTAATTCCTGTCATTGTCAGAGAACCTGCCTCTAAATTAGTTGGACCATTCAACAAGAACAGATTGCCTCTCTTTTCAGTTGAGATTCCTGATCATACCCATGTGGTTTGCCTCAACGACACAGTGGCTCCATCACTTAAAATGTTTTCACTTCAGTCCCTCTGGCATTTGGCACAAATCTGATGCTTTCCCATGAGCCTTCTCTAAAGGGAAAACTACTTAAACCGCAAAGGAAAACATCTGGCCAAATTCATTTCTCCCTACGAACTATGCACGTCAGGAGGTGGAAGCTAGCAGAGATTGCATCTCTCTCTAGAACAAAGGCAGACATCAGTCCGCCTGACAGTCACTCCTTCAGTGCTTAACTCAGCCCTAGAAATGGACCCTGATCCAATGCTACTCACAAGAGCGCTCTGCTGGCAAGGAGATTCGCTTCACCTGGGAGCTTAGGAGAAACACAAATTCTCGATCCCCACCCCAGACCTACTGAGTCAGAGAAATAAGCTCTCCAGGGGATGCTTATACACAACGAAGTTTGAGAAACCTGCCCCAGACCGCACTCAGTCACTGCTCCTTCTTAACACTTGTTTTGAACTCCCTTCGGAAGTAGAAGCCCAGTGACTAACTACAAAATTGGAATGCTAAAATGTGGAGGACAAAAAGTTTGGGGTGAAGGAGTCTCCCTCTCCAAAGTCCCCATAACCCCAGAGCTGTAACGGCCTGTTACCCGGGCATTCAGGCTACCTGACGGGAGACAGTCACTTCTCCACGTGCCAACATACAGCACAGAGACTGAACCCTTACCAACATCACTGGTGAAACCCCAGAACTGGCAGGCTCAGTCAAATAAAGACTTCCAGTGTACCCTCACACCACAGCAAAGTTATTGAGACATTTCCAATGGAAATCTTCAGAAGCCACCGAAAGGCTTTGTGGGAAATCCTTCCACAATTTATCTTCTCAGGAAATGGGGTTATAAGAGTTCCCAGACTGTGACGTAAACCACCAGAGTCAATAAACATTGCCAGCTGGAGGGCTCCTCTGCCCTGTCATGGCATAAAACTCGGAAGAGGAATTACAAGCTCCTAGGGGGTCTCTGCACTCCAGCCTCACCCTCCGCCAATCCAGCAGCCCCTCAGTGCCCTCTCAGGTCCTCCATACTCCAGCTAAATCACACTGACCCAGCCTCCTAGATCTGCTCTGGGCTTCCTGCCTCCTGCTTATGTGTACATCATTTCCTTCTGCCTGGAACTCCCTCTCCATCAAGTTCTGCCTACAGAAACGCTGCCCCAGGCTTCAGAGAGAAGCCCGGTCCCATCTCTCTGCTGACACCATCCAGAGCCAATCTCTTCCTCCTCTGATCTCTTACCCCACCTGTTGTCTGTTGCACTCTCCTGGTTCCTGTAGGGCCCCATTTTTGTAACTGCTTCTGTACATTGTTGTCCCCAAAACATCCTCTAGCCCTTGAAGATCACTTCTGCTTCCACTCAGCACATGGCAAGCACTCAGTATAAGTCTGCTAAGTAGAGTGAGTGAGTGGGTGGGTGAGTGATATCAGGTCCTTCGTCTGGTGACCAAATACCTTCAAGTTGCGTTTACTCCCACTGACTGCATGGAGCTAGGACTCTTAATGGGACATGCCAAGGACAGCTCTCTCCTGAGGAAGAGGCAATAAAACTGGCCTGCCAGGCCCAAAGGGGCCCAAAAGACAGTGGGGCCCACTGGAGATTATGAACTGCACTGAGATGTCAATAGGGTGACCTGTAAGCTCAGCGTTGGTAAGAAAGAGACCTCAAGGGGGATCTGACTTTGTGGGTTAGCCCATCAAATAGGCAAAAAAATTGTAAATTATAATATTTGGTGTTGGCAAGTAAATGGGCTCTCCCATATATTCCTCATAGAAATGTAATTCTGGAAAGCAGTTTTTTAGTACAAATCCAAAGATCATCTTCCACCATGTGATTCTACTTTTAGTAATCTATCTTAAGATTATCAGAGATGGAGACAAGGACTTAAATGTAAGAATTTCATTAGTAGTTCAATGCCACATTATTTACGATATAGGAAAGTTGGAAACAGCATAAATGGCCAACAATAGGAAAAAACTGGGTAAATTAAGGTACCTACTTATGATGTAATATTATGCAGCCTTTAAAACTATAGCTTTGAAGAATTTATGATGAGGAGATGATTGTGATAAAAATGTCAAGTAAAAAACATACAAAGTTATATACCATGTGATCCCCAAATTTTTAAATATAAATAGAGAGATCCAAATTTAACAGCAGTTATCTATGGCACAGAAAACAGTGAGTGTGTTTTTATAATTTTCCAAAATGTCCACAATGAGTTTGTATAATTTCATAATCAGAACACAATTCTTTAAAACTTTTAACAGTGAAGGGCAACAATCCCAGGGATGTCTCAGATTAACTCTCGGAGCCTGAGGCCTGAGAATAAAGTACACAGGAAAGTTATGTGTTTGTGGGGATGTAGAAAAAGATATGAAAATGTCATTGAATGCTAACAAAAAATTATGTTTTGTGTGACATAAAAAATAGAAAATAGGAAATATACGGGAGATCCTATTTGCTTGCCAACACATCCATCAAAATCTAGAGTCAAAGCACAGGACATCCACTTAAAGCTGAGTTTCAGATAAACAAATACATTTTTAGTAAAAGTATATCTCAATATTGCATGATTGCATGATGATATACTAAAAAAGCATTCATTGTTTGTCTGAAATTCACATTTAACTGGCCAGCCAGTACCTTTGTTTGCTAAATCTGGCAGCCCTAATCAGAATCACCTAGAGGATTTGTTAGACCACAGATGGCTGAGGCCCATCCCCTCAAGTTTCTGATACATTTGTCTGGGTTGGGACTGGAAATATTGCACTTCTAACAAGAACAAAAGTTTGGGGGTTTTGCTGCTGCTGGTGTGGGCACCACACTTTGAGAGTCCCATCCAGGGAGAATAAGAAAGGGAGAGAGGATGGCTAACTTACAGTGCCTCCTTCAGGCCAAGTGTGGGGCCAGGCAATTCATTCACTTTATCTTTTCTCATGCTCACAACAGTCTGAGAGGTGGGTATTATTCTCGCCTTTATTTTATAGGTGAGAAGACTGAGGACCAGAGCAGAGACATGATTTGCCCAAGGTCCCACCGCTCAGTATGACCAGCGTCCCAGGGACAGAAGAGGAAGACAGCATACGCTGACTTGCCTACTTCCTCCCCAGCGTTCCCTTCTGGACTTCCCTGAGCAGGCACAGTGGGGTCAGACCCCTACCCACCTCACTGTAAATTCAGGAACATATGTGTGAGTCTGCATTCCACTTGTATTTCTGATCCCTCCCTCATCTTCTGGGGAGCTGGTGTTTAACCTGAATTAACATCTTGGTTCTCTTATAAGGAATCCTTTCATAGGGGAAGTGTGAAAAGTTTTAATCTTTGACCCTTGCCATCTCTTGGTAT